GAATAATCTGAATTGTTGGATGATCCAGCTAATCTTCAGATGAGATGATTCTCCTTGCAATTTCTCACTGTAGGTGCTTTTAACAGTCCTCACACAGCTGGAAATTGGTGAGGAGCAATATCTCCATTTACTTCCTCAGTTCAGTGTTACCTGCACACTGTATTTTCACAAGGTATATTCTTATCCAGTGATCTGAGGTTTGCACCATTTGAACCAAATTTTTTCTTAGTGTGCTCAGCTGAGGACCATGGTATGTGTCCAGTAATCAATGGTTAATCCACAGTTGTTTGACAACATTGTGACCTTCGCACATGATTACCATGCACATCCCATGTTCATTGTTCTTTTCATAAGATATTATACTTTTCTCCTTTTCTTTTAACTTCTCTTTTTTCGCTGAATTGTATTGCTACAGACATCCCCGCAACTGCTTGCTGACAAGGATATACTACTTAGATCAATTCTAAATAAGTAAACGTTCCCTCTACTTCTGTTTTGAAGTGCTCTTCTGAACTTGCTGCATCTCTCTAAGACTGATTCTGTATGGAAAAGCAGGTCTGAAATGAAGGATGGCAGTTATGTCTTCGAAGTACCAAGAGTAGCTAATGATATGAGGATCACAATGAATGAAGTGTTTGATCGTTTGCAAAAGCTAAAGGTTTGCCTGAACAAAACGCCATTTTTTCCAGTTAGAGTGGTGTTTTCGAGGTGTCCATGAATTCCATGGTTATCATTTACTCCCTCCGTCCCATAATATAAGATGTTATTACATCCAATATGTGAGTATATTGGATGTAATAACGTCTTATATTATGGGACAGAGTATTTATGTTCAAATATGTGTCACTAAGCTTATCAAACAGCAAAACTGAAATTGCTTTTGAGCTGGATTCAGAATTTCACACTTACTTTCGTATTTCTTTTAGTTGAATCACTGGTTATATTTTGTTTGCTGCACATAAGGATTTAATTTCAAATACGTAGTAGGTAACCAGCTGGATGCTTCGATCTTTGTTCCTTTGTTTCCTGTAACTTTTTTCTCGAACACACATCAAAATGCTTGTCGTTGTCATTAAGAAGAGGATGGCCATGAAAATCAAACCAAAACAAAAACCTAAGCAAAGTACAATATGACAAAGAAAAGAGAAACCAACTAGGCTAGGTCAGGTTAGGCCAAAACTGAGACAACAGCTGATTCGACCTTTGTAACTTCGTTTTCTGTATTAGTTGCATTTTAGTACCTAACTCCCCCCATATTTCAAGAAGATTAACAGCTGGCTGTATTGTACGAGTACCTAGGTATGGGCAGTGTACTTAGTATAGTACCTAGCATCTGTAGCAACCGAGTAGTAACTGACAGTTGCTATGCCCCATGATTATGTTGCTACAGAAACCATGTCTGGCCTCAAGATGCGACCCAATAGAAGCAGTAGGACAGATGTACCGTTTATTTTGTTTTGCTTCCTTTTTTGCTATTGGTTTGCTTTTGCTTGGTTTTGTTGGCTGTATGAATGGTGGCATTTCAATGTTTTCTTCTAATGCAAAATGATGTGCTTTAGGTGCGTATTTGAGAGAAAAAATGTTGCTATAGAAACATATATGTTACACCCTCTGTTTCTAAATATAAGACGCCCCATTGGTTCAAGTTAAACTGCCAAACGTCTTATATTTAGGAGCAAGGTAGTAGATCATTTCAGCCCTGCTATGGATTGCAGTAATGTGCCACCAATAGTCATTGACTGCATTTGCTTTAGGTAACTGCTATACACACACTATTGCTAGAGAAAATGGGCACACTTGATATAGCCTAGATTTTCTGTTATGTATATTATGTTACTTATGATCACACTTCCATGTCCTAGCAAATATTTTCATTATCAGTTGTGCTGTGGCACTTGTTGCTTATCGCTGTTCTAGTGTAAGATCTTTTGGTCATGTAGTTACAGGCTTATGGCCTGGTATAGCTCGAGTGACTTGCTAAAATATTGTGCTTTTGGAATGATTCATCGTCTGTTCTCTATTGTCTTTATCCTGTTGCACCGCTTCTATGTTATGCTCCTTATGTTATGTGACATTTAATTATTTCTCTCTGTAAATCAGTTTTCAGGAGAACTATCTTATGAATTGAAAGACCCAGCCTACTGTTATATGATCTTAAAAAGGCCAGATGACTTGAACGCTCTTTCAGCAAATCTCACAAAATGGCTTTCTGAAGTAGAAAACTCAAAGGTGGTAAACAGTTTCTTAAGCTCTTCTAAATAAGTATATCTTGTCATACAATATTGTCCTTCAAACTATAGTTGCAGATCATCAGTTTATACATTGTATTTGTTAGAGGTAGTAAATCATGTACTCAATAGGCTTTTATAAATTATGTACTCAATAGGCTTTTATCAATGGTAATTTCGTCTCAGTTATTCATATTAACTGATTGCTGATGCTTGCTGTTTAAACAGATCAGGAAACTAGACGCTATGTTTGCTCTCGCGGACTATGCTGTCAAAGGTTGTAAAAAGATAGATGGCTGTTCTGGCTCCGAGCACACCCCATGCATCCAGAAGAGGATTATAGACTACTTCAGCAAGAAGGAAGGCACACCAGACGATGATTACTGTACTCCGCTCCGCAAGAGCAGGTTTGCGTGCTCTCTTCCCACATAACTCACCAGAGCATTTGCTTCTTGCGTTGTTCCGTGCTAAGTTTTATCTGACGGAACATTTGATTTTGCTTCCTGCAGCACGTTCTTGCAATCCGATATAAAGGTAAGAACTAACACCATGGTACATTTTCCACTGTGATTGGTAATCATATAACAGGCCCGCCTGACAATTTCTTCACTGTGCTGCCAGGTATTCCTCCAGAGCAATTCGTTTGCCAAATTCACCCCGAGGGCTGTCGCGAGGATTATGCATGGCATCTCCAGCCCGGCTTTTCCAGCTGCTACCTGGTCCAAAAACCACTTCTGGTCTCTCTCTTTCTCTGGACTCATTTTGTTATTTTTATGTATAGCTTGTCTTTCCACCGATTTAGCGCATGGCTGAAGTTTTTTTTTTCTGACAGGGGACGCTATATGGAGGTTGATTTTCCAGTGGTCATAGAAGCTGCCAAAGCAGAGCTTGTTAAATTCGTTGGGAAGGGTGAATAATCTACAAGCAAAGCAATCAGAACCGTTGTCTAAGGTCTTGTCAGGCTACAATGTACAGTACATACATAAGAATGAAGTTTGAAACCAGGAACCGGATAGAAATTTAACCAGAGAAGGTTCGTGCCCACTCCCATGTACACTCTCCAATACTCCCTCTGTTCACTTTTGTAAGACGTTTTAGACAGCTGAAAAATCGAACTGTTTAGCTGTTGTCTTAAATGTCTAAAACGTCTTACAAAATTGAACTGAGGGAGTAGTTGTTATCCCGTGTGCTGAAAGCTGATCGCCGTTGTTTCCATAAATTTGCAGAGGCGCTTGGAAAAAAAAGTGTTGGTAGCAGAGGGGACACCAGCCACGCCTCCGGTGTGAAGTATGTATGCAAGCAAACGCCGGCCTTTCAGTCAAGCTGTCTACATGGGGGTCTGGCCGTGTAAGATAGCGGGTCAGCCAGGATCAAAAGGCAGAAGCAGGGAGACATGAGACATTTCCTGATTAAAGAAACAAAGGGAAACCAGTGGTGTACTAGACGAGAGATGAGTTAGTAGTAATAATGTGCTAACTTGTAATCTTGATATACTACCAGCCATGTTGGAATATATTTACTTAGCAGCATCAGCCGAGTATATTTACCGCCGAGTCTTGGTCGCACTTGTTGGAGTTGACTGGCCAACCAATCAGCAGCTGGGCGGCTCCATTGCATGTTGCCGTTGTCAGCTCCGATCTGAGCATCGGTTGTGGGCAGCTTCATTGCATTGCTGCCGTCGCATATTCATTCGAATATGCTCCGGCTAGCACGGTGCGGGTCCTGGCAGCAGCGCGCCTCTATCATTTCTTGGTGCGAACCGATACCCATTCGTTGATCGTGCAGTACTACGAGCTTGAGGCGGTGCGTCGTGCGGCAGTGTTTGTCCGGTAGATCCACTTCTCAATTGATTGCGTCCCTCCCATCACTCCACCGGTGGGAGCGCACGGCTTTCGCTGGAACACCGTGTCCTGTGTGACGCGATCCGAACCATGGGGGCCTAGCCATGGTGTTTATCATGTCGCTTGCAGAAAGAGGCGATCGGTATATATACAATCAAATTGTAGATTTGCATCTTCCGACACGGCACGGGAGACAAAAGCGTGCACACAGCCATACCCAAACATACACGACACGGTGGCCGCAGACGAAATTGGCCAAAATCGGATGCTCAAAATTGAAATCGTAGCAGTGTCACGTTGCTGCATCTGGACCGCCGACCGACCGGCGGCCTCCCACTTCAAGCGACACGTAAGCCGGGTTGCTGTTGCATCGGTGAACACGTAGCTGTCTTTTAATTATGTGGGTTGATGCCGTACTCGAACCACCGGAACACTTCACGGCCGCGTGGCATATTCGCACGGCTCAAATCTATCGACCCGAAGCATATTCATTCACGAGTAATTGTTCATTCACCCACTCGCTATCTATCCTAGCCAGCCGTCTGTAACGGAGGGACCACGTCAGGCGGCCGGGCCCGTGCCGTTCCAACAGGGCAACGAACGACTCTCCCGTGTTACGGAATCCAACCCGAAAAGCAATATTCTGTGCTCGCGTCGGTCGATCTCTGTGGGCCGTAACCCCGAAGACTAGTAGAGGTAGCTCGGGCGGCGAGCATCCACGCACGCACGCACGCACGCAGAATTTACCGAAGCACACAGGAGGAGAACGAGGGAGGGAGAGGGGAAAAGCCGACGGCAGAAGAAGGAACGCGAAGCCATCCCCCCCGTCCCCTCCCGTTGCTTCCCCTCGCCCAACTCGAATCCTCTCCCCTCGCGCCGTGCCAGAGGGCTCCGCCGGAGATCGATCGAGGAGACGCGGCCCGAGCCGGAGATGGTCGCCGCCGTGGTGAACTACCCGCTCGTCGCGGGGCTCCTCGCCTTCGCGGTCGCGCAGTCCGCCAAGTTCTTCACCACCTGGTCAGCTGCCTGCACCCCTCCTCTCCTCTCCCCTGCCCCGCGTTACAGTTCCGGCCGAGGGTTTGGTTCCGCTCCTCGGGCTGCTGCTGCTGCTTGTGTGAGCATTGCGGAGCGCGTGTGACTTTGGTGGTCGCGAGTTTGTAGCTTGTCTGCTTAGCGCCAAGGTGAAGGGAGATTTGGATTCGAGACCTGCTAGGAATTGCATTTTACTAATTTTAGGCTGTTTTTTTCGTTTTAAATTCGGCGGATCAGTTTCCTAGCCTAATTGTTCGGCGGATCAGTTTCCTAGGCTGGTTACAGAAGCAGTAGGCTGTGGATCCCCGCCAAGCTTAGCGAGATCTTCCTCTTATTTCTGCGTTCCGCTTCGTTATGTTAGTACGATCTGCGCCAATTGCTTCTGTAACCAGATACTAGTATTCATGAACCACCCGCGGAATACTTTGTCAACGAGAGGCAATGGAAATGCCAGATATACCACGTGGTGTGAGAGTTACAGTCACCGAACTAGGACAAAAACATGCCAAAAAATAGTACTCCCTCCGCTTCCAAAATGTTCGAAGTTCTAGGTTTTGTCCTAAGTCAAACTTCTATAAGTTTGACCAACTTTGTAGAAAGATATGCTAATATCTACAGCATCAAATATATATAGTATGAAAACATGTGTTATGATGAATCTGGTGAAACTAATTTGATGTTGTAGATGTTGGTATATTTTTCTATAAATTTGGTCAAACTTTAAAGAAGTTTGACTTAGGGCAAACCTAGATCTTTGAAACGGAGGGAGTACTATACCTTTTTGGTATGGTTTTTGTCTAGAAGTAGTGGAGAGACACCCCTGGATCACATTACTGACAATCATGAGGTTTTAGTTATTAATATGAGAACATTTTATGGTTATTCGGATGGTTTGATGAGGCACTTAGAAGCCTAATTTTTTCACATTGATTCTGGTTCTGCTGCCAGATAAGGGCTGTATTTGTGATTGGTGAAGCAAATTTGTTGCATGTTTAATGCTAGAGGCCAGTTGGTTACATAATACTCCCTCCGTCCCAAATTAAGTGACTCAACTTTGTACTAACTTTGTACTAAAGCTAGTATAAAATTGAGTCACTTATTTTGGGACGGAGGGAGTACTATCTGTATTTCCTTACTTTGGTCCTAATGTCACTCAGATGTTTAATCAATGCTTTGTGATGTTCCTGCCCATAAATTATTTGCATTGGCTGCAAAGAGTGTCTGTTGGCAAAGTAAATAACGAAATTAACCCTTGATTTCCTGATAATTTAAGCAAAAATGGCTGGTACTAGACTATGAACATGAAGTGAGCCCTATCCTCAGTGGCGGCGCTAGCCTAATTCTAATCTTTTTCTTCATGAATATCAAAATTTTAAGAGGATCATGGACAATTTGTGATGTCAATTTACATCACCAATTGTGTGTAGAGCTGTCCCATATTGACATCACACATTCATAGGTTATGGACTTATCGCAAGTGCACACTACCATTTGCTGTCTCATGGAGCATATAATTCAAATAAGAAAACTAACTGTTTGGGGACCATTTGAACATGTGCAGACGCCTTTATTCGGTAAAAGGAGTTTTTATTGACTCAACAACATGCACACAGACCTGAATTTACATCAGGGCAAAAATTTGAGAACGTTCCGTATAAGCTTATCACTCATGTTGCCTAGTTATGATGTGGAGTACTCCCTCCGTCCAAAAATACTTGTCGAAGGAACGAATGTATCTAGACACAATTTAGTTCTAGATACACCCATTTTCATCTATTTCTCCGACAAGTATTTCCGGACGGAGGGAGTAGTATGTAAGAGGTAACATTCATTTCTAACTGTATAACTATCTTCAAGGTCGATTTGGGATTGGGGCAAGGCTTGTGTCTTAAATTGCACTTATCATAGAAGTATGGGTAAACTGGTAAAAAACATGCTAAAATGTTGCTTAGCACTGTCCAACCGTATGCATTTGGTGTTCTCTAAAGCAATTCTTTTCTTTTCTGGGTTTTATGTAGGTATAAAGAGAAACGTTGGGATGCCAGGCAATTTATAGCTTCTGGAGGGATGCCATCATCACATTCAGCCACAGTGACAGCACTTGCAGTGTCTGTTGGAATCCAAGAAGGCTTTCGTAGCGCCACATTTGCAACTTCAGTGATACTTGCATGTGTGGTGAGTACATGTTTGAGATTCTTTATGTATATAAAGCCTTAGCTACTTCTATTGCATGAGTATAGTAATATACTCCCTCCGTCCGAAAAAGCTTGTCCCAAGCTTGTTCCTTAAATGGATGTATCTAACACTAACTTGATGCTAGATACATCCATTTGAGGGACAAGCTTTTTCGGACGGAGGGAGTAGAAGAGAATATCAGACTATTTGCATTCATTTGCTTGCTTTCATCTCTATTTGTCTCTTCTACTTTCATGTGATACTTTGCACATTGCTTTTGAAAGTTGCTGTTGTATGTTGTGAAACTTCTGCTTAACAGCACTTTCCTGGCATCATTCATACTCCCTCCGTCCGAAAAAGCTTGTCCCAAGCTTGTCCCTCAAATGGATGTATCTAGCACTAACTTGGTGCTACATACATCCATTTGAGGGACAAGCTTTTCCGGACGGAGGGAGTATATAACAAGGACACACTTCGACATGAAAGACACGTATGCCTAAAACCTTCGTTTTTGTTTGTAGGTGATGCATGATGCTTTTGGTGTTCGGTTACACGCTGGAAAACAAGCAGAGGTTTGTCAGTCTCATCCTAAAAGGTCTTAGACTTGTGGTTAAATATGTGCATGCACTAACATGGGAGGCTGCTTAGCGGCTGCCCTGATTATAGGCTAATAAACATATACTCCCTCCGTTCCTAAATGTAAGTCTTTGTAGAGATTCCACTATAAACCACATACGGATGTATATAGATGAATTTCAAGTTTAGATTCACTCATTTTGCTCCGTATGTAGTTCACCCTGTGGGATCTCTACAAAGACTTATATTTAGGAACGGAGGGAGTATTTTCTATCTATAACTAGCATACAGTCTTTCTCGCCAAAAAAAAAAAACAGAAACAAAACTAGCATACAGTCTTTTCACATGGACCTGCTGTTTGATTTCTATTATCTCACTGGAGATTTATGAATTGGATCGCATTTGCGCATATAGTTATATGCATTAGATTGCATTAGACTTTCTCAGTTTGATCAAGGATACCCAGTGATCTGCTAGGTGTTTGTGATGCTGGAAACAACACTTACAAGATCTGTATATGTATAAATTATACTACCTCCGTTCCATTTAGTTGACGCTCAAACGGATGTATCTAGACGTATTTCAGTGCTAGATACATCCGTTCGAGCGTCATCTAATTCCGAAGGGAGGGAGTAGCTAAATGGTTGTCCAAGATTTAGTTTGTTCTGTTGTCATTTGCTGCCAGTATTCAGTGTGTAGTAAGTTATGTTTGCAGTATATAGAGCATGCATCACTATGGATATGCCTCTGAAGTTGGATATGTTCGGCTGAATGATATATTCTCCATGATTACCTTGAACATTTGATAAGCAGTTGATGAGTATCCTTTGACTATATGTTTGGCCTGGACTTGATTAACTACTTTCTCACCAACACGTGAACAAGAAATTTAGATAATGACAAATGTATGTTTAAAGTACCCTTTTTTTGGCGGTGGAAAGATACCCATTGATACATAACAAAGAGAAGTATTTCAAACTTTGTGTGACACTGAAGCAAGATGACACTAATATTGTTGATGCAAATCCTATCAGGTGTTAAACCAAATTGTCTACGAGCTGCCTATAGAGCATCCGCTGGCAGAGACAAAGCCATTGCGTGAGATTCTTGGGCACACAGTCCCTCAGGTTAGCTTACATGCTTTATCTTCCATATATTGATGTTTGTGGCCTTGCTAGTTAAGGAAAATGTGATTGTCGATATAGGAAGCAGAAAAGAATAAAAAGACTAACTACTGAAATTTCAGAGCATCAATTTGTGAGCTACTTCAATGGTTCTCGAATTATTCATATCGAAAGATATTTATTATCTGTAGCATGCTCCAAAGCTGTGATTATTGAATAGTTTCATCATATGATACAGCAAACCTCTTTCAGGAGCAAAAACTTAGAATGCAAATGACATTTCATAAATTATTTGGGACAGACAGTTGTTAGTTGGCTCGCCCCTAGTTTTTTTACCCTTATTGTCATCTTGGAAGATTGTGCATGCTCTTGTCAGGTACTCCCTCCGTTCCTAAATACTCCCTCCGTTCCTAAATGTAAGTCTTTGTAGAGATTCCACTATAAACCACATACGGATGTATATAGATGAATTTCAAGTTTAGATTCACTCATTTTGCTCCGTATGTAGTTCACCCTGTGGGATCTCTACAAAGACTTATATTTAGGAACGGAGGGAGTATAAGTCTTTTTAGAGATTCCAAATATGGATTACATACAGAGCAAAATGAGCGAATCTACACTAAAATAGATCTATCCACATCCGTATGTAGTTCGTATTGAAATCTCTAAAAAGACTTATATTTAGGAACGGAGGGAGTATATTATTTTGATAGTAACAATGATTAGCCGATATGCGTGATATACTGGATGTAAAAACACTTGTTTGACATGTCAGGTGGTGGCTGGTTGCATCCTTGGAATCCTCACGGCTGTGGTCATGCTCTTAGCTCTGGGGAGAGGCAATATTTGATCATCTAATATCGCATCGCCGATCTTGTAAAGCATACAAAAGAAGCTCATCTTTGATGTAATGTGTAAAAGTGGCCTGTCCATGCTGCTACAAAGTCTTAACTGATATAGATCTGCGCTGTAGGATTGTAGGTCGTAGCTTCAGTTGGTGCTGTAAATCTGAGATGTTTGCTGTCGATCAGAACCTCCTCATGTTGAATGTTTGCTGTACAACTAGCAGTGATATGTAGCTTGAGAACGTGATGGTTCTGAATAGTTGATACCACGTCATAAGCTCCATTCTGGGTACACAATTATTGTGTTTGCCTTTTTTTTGAACTTTTCCTTTTGAACTCGATTATTATATTTGCCTTTGATCCAAAGAGTAAGAAATATGACACAGAAAATCTAACGCAACTTTAAGCAACACAGCCAACTTAGGTACTACGTACAATGTCTCCTAAATATAAGTCTTTGTAGGGCGTATTTGGTTGCCCGCACCGAGTCCAGCCTGGTCCGAGCGGGAAGGGAGAGGTCTGTTTGGTAGCCTGGTTTTTCTGTTGGGCCTGCACCGCATGATTCTCAAAGCAGCCCACAACCTGGCTCGCTGGAAACCCTGGGATCGGCAGTTTCTCGCGAGCCAGACTGAGTGCGGCGCGAGGTCGCACGGGCGGGAGCGAGGCGCGGGCGAGGGGCGATGACGGGAGATGGAAATCTGGCGCGCCGTCCTGGCGTCAAATTAGCCTCACCCTCCTTTCACTCGCTCATCCATAGCCACTGCCCCCCTTTCTTCGCTACTGCCTCACCACCGGTGGCGGCTGCGATTCCAGATCTGCGCTAGAGGGGACGGCGGCGGCGGCGGCGGAAGAGGCGGCGATGTTTGCGGCGGATCTGGTGCTCCCCTTGCTGTTGGCCACCGTCTGGTCGACCTAGTGTGTGCCATGGCTCCCCCTACGCCGTCCTCGTCTCCGATGCCGGTAAGCAACACCCCCTCTCCCCTTTGTTAGCTCAGTGGTTAGGCCGTTAAGCTAGGTGTAGGATCGATTTTCCACTGAACGAACCATCCATGTCGACTAGGTTATGGACGCACGGATGAGGCTGATAATCCAGTCATCAGCACTGATTAGTGTGATTCAAGCATGGGTCATGTTCATGCACCAGAGAGCTGTTCGTCGTGCTGGAAGACCTTTGATTCGCTATGGTCCATTGTTTCCCTGGGAACAGGAGAGGATCCAAAATCTGAACTACATCTACAATTGCAATGACGTCGAGGCTCTGTGGATGCTTAGAATGAAAAGAGCAGCATTTGCCAGACTTGTTGAGACCTTCAGGAGCAGGGGGCTGTTACAAGATAGCATCAACACTAGTGTCGAAGAGCAAGTGACCATGTTCCTCCATGTTGTTGGCCATAACCAGAGGTTCAGGGTCATTCACAACATGTCCAGGAGATCAATGGAGACCATCTCTAGGTACTTCAAGCAAGTGCTTTTTGCTATTGGGGAGCTTAGAGGAGAGATGATCAGGAGACCATCTGGTCAGACTCCACCCAAGATTCGCGGAAACCCAAGATGGTATCCATACTTCAAGATGAGCATTGACAATATACACTTTTCATGATTTGATATGCTTGTATTGTTCAAGTTGAGCACTAACACAGGCTTGTGATACCATTTTCAGGACTGCATTGGGGCAATAGATGGTACTCATGTCATTGCCAGAGTTCCTAGGTCACAGTCTGCATCATACAGGGGGAGGAAGCACTACACAAGTCAGAATGTGTTTGCTGCTGTTGACTTTGATCTGAGGTTCACATATGTGCTGGCTGGCTGGGAGGGGTCAGCGCATGATGCTAACATTCTCACTGACAACGTGAATCGACCTGATGGGATCAACATCCCCGACGGCAAGTTCTACCTTGGAGATGTTGGATATGCATGTCGGCCGGGTATTCTTCCACCCTTCAGGAAAACAAGGTACCATCTCAACGAGTTCTCTGGTAGGAACTTTCCTAGGACTGCACATGAGCTGTTTAATCTCAGACACTCCAGCCTTAGAGTAAATGTTGAGAGGGCATTTGAAGCTCTGAAGAATAGGTTTAAGATCCTGGATCAGAAGCCATTCCACCCATACTCCACTCAGGTTAAGCTAGTTCTTGCATGTTGCATTCTGCATAACTAAATCCTCCAGTGGGGCTTTGATAAACACGTGCCTGAGGAGGAAGAGGTCGAGCCTGACGATGTTGTTAGCTCTAGCCATGGTGTGGAGGCATTTGGCAATGACGCTTGGAAGAACAAAAGGTTGGAGTTGGCAGAGGCAATGTGGCTTAACAGAGGTCAGTGCAAGATTTGAAGAAGAGGAAGAAGAAGCAGCAGCAGCAAAAGCACAGAAGAAGAGGAAGAAGAAGCATCATCATCAGCAGCAGCAGAAGAGGAAGATGAAGCAGCAACACCGATGAACTATCCCCTATTTAGCCAATGACTCTTAATAATTTGAACTGTCATTTGATTGTAGTTAGGATGAACTGTCATTTGTTTAACTAGCTGGCACTATGTTCAGATTGTGAGTGGTAAGGTCATCACTAGTTAGAAGTGGTGATAACACCTTATGCAGGTTGCAACCAAACACCATATCATATGTGCACCGAATGCAATGCAGGCAACCAAATGCTGGGTCAAAAATGATTGTCTCATACAACTAGGGACATGCAGGCAACGAAATTATGTGCATCTGGGGTTTTTGCCCTGCATCCCCTTAAACTGGCTCATATAAGCCAGGCTCGTCGGGCCAGGCTGAGTCGGCAATGGAACCAAACACGCCCGTAGAGATTTCACTATGACCACATACGGATGTATATAGATGCATTTTAAAGTGTAAATTCACTCAATTTGCTCCGTATGTGGTCCTAAATATAAGTCTTTGTAGAGATTTCACTACGGACCACATACGGATGTATATAGATGTGTTTTAAAGTGTACATTCACTCAATTTGCTCCGTATGTGGTTCATAGCGAAATCTCTTTAAAGACTTATATTTATATTTAAAAACGGAGGAAGTATTTATTTCTCCTTTCTGGACGGGTGGATACAGTATGGAGTATTTGTGTATGCATGTGGGAGCGTTCTTGATCTAGATTCCCAGTCAGAGCTTGGATGGCGTCCCTCTGGGATGGTGCACAACGATGAGGCCGTACGCGTCCAGCGTGAGGAAGTCGTCCAGCTCCGGCGCGACGCACTGCCGGATGAAGATCCTGCCAGCCTCCGCGTAGCGCCCCCGCCGGAACCTCGCCGCGCCGACCTCCGCTTGGACCCTCGCCATCTCCTTCTCCACGACGCGCGCGAGCAGCTCCGGCGTGGCTCGGACCGCCACGCCGCCGGCGTCCAGCACCGCGCCGTGCCGCAGCCACTGCCAGTTCTGCACGCGGCTGATCTCCGCGGTGGCCGCGTCCTCCATCAGGTTGTACAGCGGCACGGAGCCGGACCCGCCCAGCCACGCCGCGAGGTACTGCACGCCGACGCGGGTGTTGAGCCGCAGCCCCTCCACCGTGCGCGGCCCCCGCGGCGGCTGGATCAGGTCCTCCTCCGTGATGGCGTCGACGGGCGCTGCCGCGTCGATCTGGTTAGGCTTCCCGCCGAGGTGGCCCTCGAAGACCTCCCGTATCGCCGGGATGAGCCCCGGGTGCGCCGCCCACGTGCCGTCGTGCCCCGCGCGCACCTCCCTCAGCTTGTCCCTGCGCACCAGCTCCAGCGCCGCCTCGTTCGCCACCGCGTCGTCCTTGATCGGAATCTGGGCCGCCTGTCAAATTGAATCAACACACATGTGATTGTTTGCGTCGATCACCCGTGGAGTGGAGTCAATGAGCTGGGGATGAACGAGCGCTTAGTTAGATACCATGCCGCCCATGGCGTGGACGCGGCGGCGGTGGCAGGTGCGGATGAGGAGGTGGGAGTAGGAGCGCATGAAGTGCTGTGCCATGCCGACGAGGGCGCGGTCGGGGAGGAGGCGGTCCGGGTGCGCGCGGAACGTCTTGACGTAGCTGAAGATGTAGTCCCACCGGCCGCAGTTGAGCCCCGCCGAGTGGTCGCGCAGCTCGTGCAGGATCTCGTCCATCTGGAACACCGCCGGCAGCGTCTCCACCAGCACCGTCGCCCTGATGCTCCCACGCTCGATCCCGGCCACTCTCTCCGCCCTCTCGAACACGCCGTTCCATATCCTCGCCTCCCTGCATGCATGTACGCTCGATCACATCAGCATGAATGAACCGTCACGAAATGTGTACACAAACAAACTATGAGCGCACCTGGAGTGCTCCATCTTGGGGAGGTAGAAGAAGGGGCCGAACCCGGCGCCCTGGCCGGCGCGGAAGGCGGCGTGGCTGTGGAAGAAGTAGAGGCCGAAGTCCACGAGGCAGCCGATGGCCGGCTCGCCGTCGATGACCACGTGCGCCTCCGGCAGGTGCCAGCCGCGCGGCCGGACGAACAGCTTCGCGGTGCGGTCGTCGAGCTTGTACACCCGGCCGCCGCGCGCCGCGTCGCGGAAGCTTATGGTGCCGGCCACGGCGTCCCGCAGGTTCACCTGCCCGCGCATCAGGTTCTCCCACGTCGGCGCCAGCGCGTCCTCGAAGTCAGCCTGCCACGTCCACGTCACGTTTTGCTTGGTTACATACTTACATGTTGCACCGCACTTGCACCTACGTACGCGCCTGCGCTTACCATGAAGACCTTGGCGCGGGAGTTGAGCGCGTTGATGACCATCTTCCTCGGGTCGGCGGGGCCGGTGATCTCCACGGTCCGGTCCGCGATGGCCGGCGGCACGGGCGCGCACGCCCAGTCTCCCTCCCGGACGAACCTCGTGGAGGGGTCGAACCGCGGCAGCTCGCCGGCGTCGTAGCGCCGCTGGGCCTCCCGCCGGCGTTCCATGGCGTACCTGACGGCGCCGCGGAACTCGCGCTGCAGGCCGGCCACGAAGGCCAGCGCGTCGCGGGTCAGGATGGCCGCGAACTCCGGGTCGTAGCGGCCGCGGAT